GTTCGAGAAGGGAGAGTGTTGACATGTCGTGGGGTTGTTAACCAATGTCATAAAACAATATGTGTACTGACTGTTTAATGAGAAACTATTTGTTCTGTAAGCCTTCATCTAAAGTACAATAAAAATTTTTTTTTGAAGTTGTGTGATAGATATATTTACAACAATGACCAAAAAAAAAACAAAAAACGAAGAGTAGCTGTTGAGGCTATTTATGTACAACCAAACACCTCGTGGGATTTGGTTTCTTGGTTTGGAGGTTTAGGGTCATGATTTCATGGGACATGCCAGTTAATCAGCTTAATAACATGTTTAGTGCTTCTGTTCTACCTCCTAGTGCGTTGCATACTGCCTAGGATCTTAAAAGCCTCCAAGAGGCCATCCAATGTATAACAACTGGTCTTTGTTCACCTGGGGCAACAGAGGAAGAAAGAGAGTCAGGAAGAGGAGGAGGATATGCAATATGTGGCTAATCGCCTTCATGAAAAATTGCCTCCTTTGCCATGAGACCAGAAGAACTGGGTGGTGCCCAGCTATTATTACTGAACACTTTGATCAAAAATCCCATAGAAGACTCCTCATCAAAAGGGGGAAAATGCAGAACAGAATTTCAAATTATCATGGACTCTAGACTTTCCGGAGCCATGGAGAGTGCATGAACTCCTGAAATTATTGCCCCTAGATAATCTTTAAACCTTAAACCAAAAATATCCCCTGAAGTCTTCTTTAAATTAAGCAATAGTTTAGCTTAACTAGTAAAAAGTCTGCCTTGAGCATTTTGCTCTTTTAAAAACTATATGGGATCAAATCGACAACAGCAGCTTGAAAGATTAGATAGGAACCTTAGGGGGCAATGAATTTATGTTAATGGGGGAGGAATAACTCAGGAAAGGAGGGTGAGAATGGCTGCACAACTCAAAGAATATAATCAATGTCACTAAATAGTACATGTAGAAACTTTTGAATTGGTGTATGTTTTGCTATGTATATTCTCAATAACAACAATAAAATTAAAGAAAAATAAAGAAGACATTAATGGAAAAATGGAGAATTCAGAATTAAGTCTTGTAGTTTAGTTAACAGTATTGTACCAATATTAATTTCTTAGTTTTGATCATTGTACCATGGTTATATAAGCTGGATGAACGGTATAAGGGCACTCTGTAGTATCTTTGCAACTCTTTTGTATGTCTAAAATTATTTAAAAATAAAAAGTTTTAAAAAGTATTCTATGTGAAGTGGCTAGCTCACAGTAGGCAATAAATAGTAACCCACTAACCCATTGTGGTTGAGTTGATTCCGACTCATAGCGTCCCTATAGGACAGAGTAGAACTGCCCCATAGGGTTTCCAAGGAGCGAGCAACTGGTGGATTCAACCTTTTGGTTAGCAGCCTGAGCTCTTAACCACTGTGCCACCAGGGCTCCTAATAAATGGTAATTATAAGCAAATACGTTGCCTCCAATAGTGTTGAATCAAAGGAATACTTACTGATGGCAGTCACTGACATGGAGGCGGTAGTTGGCCTTGTTGGTACAACAGAAACCATTCTAGCCACAGATATTGCGTGACCTTGGCTGAAGTATTTTATGAAACTAGTTCTTTATCCTTGAGGAGGCTTCTAGGAATTGAAATGTGCTCATTATCTGTTCTTCGTTCACGGGCTCAGACTGGATGTCTCCCTGATATCATGAGTTTCCCCAGCTGTGCAGCTGTATAAACCTTGAACTTGGACCCACTAATCTGAGGGGTTTTTTATCCACAACAATTGATAGACCAAAATGAACAACGTTTTGTACTCTGTGTGTTTGATATTCCCCCCCTGCCATGACAAGAGGCTCATCCCTGTCACACACACAACTTAGTGACTAACAGGTGGAATTGGCTTTAGCAGCCAAGGAAAGAAAGATCACATGCACGTGGCCCAGAGAAGGTTTCTCCCCCGGGGGTCAAATCAGCCAAGGAACTTTGATTGCATTGGCAAAACAGTAAGAAATGTAAGAATTTTCTCGTCACTTAGGGAAATTTCATTCAGCAGACATACAACACCTTCTATATGCTTAACCCTGAGAATAAAATAGAGGCCTAGCGCCCACCTTCACAGAGCTTACAGTCTTGTGGGCATTAAATGAGCAGAAACAATAAGACGCAGTTAAGTGTTGTGAATTTCAGGACAGTACAGAGACCGAGACTTTCCTTCTGTTGTACGTAGGATCACCGTGAGTCGGAACCGACTTGACGGCACGTAGCAACAACGGAGCACTGGAGGAGGGCATTGATTGGCGGTTCAGTGGTAGAATTCTCACCTTCCACTCAGGAGACTGGGGTTCGATTCCCAGCCAATGCACCTCATGCGCAGCCATCACCTGTCTGTCAGTGGAGGCTTGCGTGTTGCTGTGATGCTGAACAGGTTTCAGTGGAGCTTCCAAACTAGGAAGAAAGGCCTGGCAATCGACTTCTGAAAATCAGCCAGTGAAAACCCTTTGGATTACAGCAGTCTGATCTGCAGCCAATTATAGAGATGGCTCAGGACTGGGCCACATTCCATTCCTTTGTGTGTGGGGTCGCCATGAGTCGGGGACCAACTCGACAGCAGCTAACAACAGCAGAGCACTGGGCTGGTGGGAGAAGGAAGCCCCGCCTCTGCTGTTCATGCCACTGGTGGTTTGAGGGTGGGAATCAGTCAATGAGATGCTGTCATAGTGTGGGCAGTAGGCAAGCCCCTGGCTAAAGATGCTGTGTACCCATGGGCCTGGGCACATGGCACCTGTGCCCGTGCTGTACCCGTGGGAGATGTGCAGTAAATGCCCAGAGTGAGTGCTGATTTGCATCAATGAGGGAATGTATCATTCAATCTCATCTAATCCCAAGGTAATGTTAAATTCAAGTTTTCTCTAACAACAGCATTTATTGAGTGTTTAAGATCATCTGGATCCCTAGTGGCACAGTGGTTGAGAGCTCAGCTGCTAACCAAAAGATCGGCAGTTTGAATCCACCAGCTGCCCCTTGGAAACCCTTATGGGTCACTATGAGTCGGAATGGTAACGAGGTTTTTGGTAAGACAATCCAGGCGCTGTGGTTTACATAAATTAACTTGTTTAATCCTTACAACAACCCAGTAACAGAGTGACTATCATTATACCCATTTTATAGGTGAGAAAACTGAGACAGCTATAAAGGAAGAAGTAACTCACCTAAAGTTACGTGGGCACAGCCAGTAAGCGGCAGACCCAGACTTTGAGCCTAAGCAGTCGCCTCCTCTATTCTGCCTCTCCAAGAGCGGTAAAAACCTTTGGGTATTTTCATAGAGGGATAGGAGTATACGCTGGCAATTCCTACAAGCCATAGGCACAGGCTTCCTCAAAGCTGCAACCCCAAGGATCATAAGGCTGGTGCTACTCCCTACTTCAGCTGTCATTTCCCACCTTCCCCCATAGCCTTTAACCTTGGACCTGTGCGATGGTCACGTGGGAGCAGGCATGGCTGCGGTCTAGAACAAGCCTCTGGTCAGCCAGACTTGGAATGGGGCCACCTCCTTAAATCCCAGAGAGCAGCTGCCGAGAGAAGAAGCCAAGGTAGAGGTCAGGCAGGTGATTCCTTTCCTCAGAGCCACTTACACTGTCATCTGAGAGCCCTGAAAGCAACTCCTCACGGTCTGACATCCCGGCTCTTGATGGCCAGTCTAGTTCAGTATCCAGTTCCAGTTTCTGGGTCAGCTGCCTTATGTGGCATGCCTGAATAATCAATGTATAGCCTGTACTGGGTGCACTTTTTTTTCTTTTTTTTTTTTTTTTTTTTTTCCGGTGTATTTGGCCCTAGTGTTTATTTTGGGGGTGGGGAGAGACAAGAGGTGACTAGGTCAAGTGGACAAGAAGAGATGCAGCGATGTTCCCATCCAAGGACTCAGCTGAGTGGTATTTCTACCAAATAATTCTACCGAACACTGACACCAGAACATTCTAGAAGAGATGCCAAATTTAATATCGAACAATGTTCTGATATCCTACAGTTTTGGAAAGTAAAAACCGTGGTCTCAAAAATGCCTAGAAAGGAAAATCTGTAGAGACAGAAAATAGGTTAGCGGTTGCTGGGTGGGTTAGCGAACAGGATGATAGGCGGGTGATAGCTAAAGGATATCGGGTTTTCTAAGGTGATGAAATGTTCTAAACTTGACTACGGTGATGGTTGCACAAGTCTGTGAATATGCAAAAAAACACTGAATTGCACACTTTAAATGGGCATATGTGAATTATATCTCAGTAAAACTGTTAAAAAGAAAGAAAATGAGGACCTCAGCCCTATACCGTGAAAGAACTGAAGTCTACCAACAACCACGTGATCTTAGAAAAGAACCCTGAGCTCCAGAAAGGAACATGACCCTTGATTGCATTTCTCTATTACAAACACAGCAATGAACAGCCTTGTAGGTACTTCCTCGTGCACATGTACTAGTGTTTTTGAAGGGTATGGTATACAAAATGGATGTGGTTAATAAATATTGCCAAATTGCAAAAAAAAAAAGCCTAGACTATTCCCCTGAATTCAGTATCTTACATTCACCCTTTTCCATTAATTTGGGGCAGCCAGTAATCTGTTAGCAGAGTGATTAAAAGTTCGGCTGCTAACCAAAAGGTCGGCAGTTTGAATCCACCAGCCACTCCTTGCGGCAGTTCTACTCTGTCCTATAGGGTCGCTGTAAGTTGGAATCGACTCGACGGCAAAGGGTTTGGTTTTGGTTTGGAATCTGATAGTCTGTATAACTGCCTATTCCATAACACACCAGCAGTTCTTCGCTAATTTTCAAATTTCAGCTTACTCAGATATTGCCTTTTAATTTCCTGACAATACCAACCCTTAATGGCAATGCAGAAACATCTCTAGCCAGACCCTTCTCTCTACCGTGCAGAGAGCCACACGCTGGCCTCTCGCTCGCTCTCATACCCACAGTCTGCCTTCATGTCTATTTTTAGTTTTCCTGGCTCAAGCATCTTCAAGCTACTGAAACACAGCCCTCACTCTCTTTCTCTCCCTCTGGCATGCATGCTGCTGGTAAGAGCCCCCCAGGCAAAAATTGCTTCAGACATCCTTTATTGCTCCTTCCTCAGGGAGAACCTGTGGTTTCGGGATCACGGCTCTGTTTTTAAGCTGGATGGAAGCTGGGTGACCTTCTGATGGGCTTTAAACTTTGAATTGGATGTGGACATCTTTCTGTCCGATGACAGAATTGCTCCAACTTCCCCTTTGCAGTTGCTTCCTTCCCTTGGAGGTAGCTGTATCTTGTTTTCTGTAATAACCTTTTCCTTCCGAAGTTGTCCGCCATGCCAACTGTCATTGGCGCATCTGTGGCCCCACGGACAGGGGCTGAGCCCATATCCCCGGGGCCAATCCCCCACCCAGCCCAGGACAAAACGACCGAGGCTGGCGGTGGAAATCAAAGTGGCATCTATTCGGCCATCATCAGCCGCAATTTTCCTATTATCGGAGTGAAAGAGAAGACATTTGAGCAGCTACACAAGAAATGTCTAGAAAAGAAGGTTCTTTATCTGGATCCTGAATTCCCACCGGATGAGAGCTCTCTGTTTTATAGCCAGAAGTTTCCTGTCCAGTTCGTCTGGAAGAGACCTCCGGTGAGTAGCTTACTGGTTGCTGGTTGATTTTTCTCCCTCAAAGGCGTCCTGCTACTCAGCACCTCCCCACAGCTCAGCTGTGCACTTGGGCACTGAGGGAATTTTCCTGGCGATGACTCTGTCAGGCTCTGTCCTCAAGTGTGAAAGGGGAAGTAGAGGGGAGGGAGCCTGGGATATCATCAAGTCTCTACATAATTCACGTGGGAGGCAGGGCTGATTCTCACCCTCTCTCGTTTGAAATAATCCATTTCTGAAATAATCTTACCTTTTTTTAAAAATAATTGAAATTCTGTTTAATTCATCCTATACAAATTCTAAACAGTCCAGATCTACACTCTCTATTTAAATACCTTGTATCTTTGTAGGAGACTCTGGTGGCATAGTGGTTAAGAGCTATGGCTGCTAACCAAAAGGTTGACAGTTCAAATCCACCAGCCACTCCTTGGAAACCCTGTGGGGCAGTTCTACTCTGTCTTATAGTGTCGCTATGAGTTAGAATTGACTTGACAACAACGGGTTTGTTTGTTTGTTTTGGTGTCTTTGTAAGATTCTTTCCATTTCTTTGGCTAAAATCATGATGTTCTCTCTTAGTTTGCCAATTGCTATGTCTTTCTGATACACAGAAGCCCTAGAAAGAGGAAAGTGGCAGGCAAAGACTAATTTTTCATGCATAAAATGTTAGGATTCGAAGGACCCCTTGCAGCTGTTTTTGTCCACGTACCTCCCCTCACAAAGGAGGAAATAAAGGCACACCAGAGTGAAGCATATCAGAGAGCCTGTGACAGGGCCCGGATCAAAACCCCCTTCTCTTTCTCTAGCCTCTGGGTTTCACTTACAGCCATCTGTTGCCGTCAAATGCTAGCGAGTTGATTTTGACTCCACCCCATGTGACAGAGTAGAACTGCCCTATAGGGTTTTCTAGGCTGTAATCTTTATGAGACCAGATTGTCAGGTCTTTCTCCCTCAGAGCCAGTGGATGGGTTTGAACAGCCAGTCCTTCTGTTAGTAGCCCAGCGCTTTAACGGTTGTGCCACCAGGGCTTCTTTACAGTGATCTATGGGAAGGAAAATCCATATTCCCTTGGTTCCCTTCTCTGATCACACCTTCAGTATGACTCTTGTTCTCAATTCAAGAGATATTTATTGAGCATCTTCTATTGCCAGACACTGGGCAGGTGACTGGGGAGACACCTACAGATAAGAAGATAAAAAATCCCTGCTCTCAAGGAGCTGAGAGTCCTGAGGGGCAGACAGGCACTGAACAAGAACGGTGACTGTTAGGAGACAACATTCAGGGCTGTGGGGTTACACCCTCAGCCACAGGTAAACATTCACCTGTGTTCACACCCATCTCCCTCCTGCCCCGTAGTTAACCACAACTTTGCCCTCCAGGCAAAGGAGAACCAGACAGGAAGTGTCCCAGCAGTAACCACTCTCACTGTACCTGTAAAGCTGACTTTCTGCTCAGAATCTTGCAGGGGAGAGTGTGGCCTGTTGAATGAATAAGCAAATGGGTCTTCAGCAGACATGGCCTTCATCGTCAGGAAGTCTGGCTCAGTGGTTAAGAGTTTGGGCTCAGGAAGATTCGAGGGGTTCATGCCTCACTTCCACCACGTCTCAGCTGTGTGACCTTGTGGGGATCATTTACCTTCTGCAAGCCTCAATTTCTTCATCTAGAAAGGGAGATAATAATCTGACTTATCGCAAGGGGCTATGTAAGATTAAATGAGCTCATTTAGATGGGGTGGTTAGCACCATGCATAGCATTTAAGAGATTTTAAAAGTCAGCCATAATTATCATAAGGGAAAGGAATGCATACACCGAATGCCTACAGGCCAGACATTGTACTAGGTGCTTAGCTGATTTAGCTAATCCTCGCTATAGCCATGAGAAATAGGAATAAACCAAAGAAAAAACCAAACCCGTTGCCATCGAGTTGATTCCAACTCATAGCAACCCTATAGGACAGAGTAGAACTGCCCCATAGGGTTTCCAAGGAGCGCCTGGTGGATTCCAGCTGCCGATGTTTTTGGTTAGCAGTCGACTTCTTAACCACTATGCCACCGGGGTTTCTGAGAACTGGGAATGGCTATCCCTATTTTTCAGAAGAGAAAACTGGGGCCCAAGGTAACATGTCAGATAATAAGTGGAGTCACAGTTTGAACCCAGGTTTGCTTGAAATGATGATGCGGCCACTCTGCTGTGCCTCCTAAAGACATATTCTGACCTGTGAGTCCCTGTGTGGTCCAGGCTGTGCCAGTCAGATCGGCCCTAGTGGAATCAGCAGTCAAGTTCCCAGGCCTGCCAGAGAGAAGAGTGTGGATTAATGGCAAAGTCAGGGCCAAGATGGCCTGGGAAGAGAGGGGAGAGCTTGGGACTTATTTCGAGAGTCGTCAGCCCCTCCACCAGTTTCCTTCAACCGACTGGTCCCAAAGAAACCTGTTCCTCACTCAGGGTCACAGGGCACACCTCAGTGTTAGAGAGGCCCCCCAGGTTTCCTTCTCAGAGATGGCTGCCCTCCCACACACCAGCCCCAAAACCCACCCACCCCTGAAACCTGGAGCTGTGCACCTGGCTAAATACTCCTTGGCTGCACCCCCAAACTCCTGTTAGGAGAGAGTTTATTATCTAAGGCACAGGATCACTAGAAACCAATCTGAACTTTTCTTTAACAATCCAGGATTATTTATTACAGTCATAATGATGATGTTAATAAAGGGAGAATTCATGGCTAACTATAATTCTAGTTAGGATAACATACTGCACTTTCAGCCTTTCTCTCTTAAAAGAAAAGAGACCCCACACCTGTCCCCCAGATAACTTTCAATCTCTCCTCCCACGTTTACCAGTGTTACATCACTGCCTTTCCTTCTCTTTAGGGAGCATCTTGCATTGAGTCCCCAGGTCATATAATCGGATTCCCCTAGCCTTTCCTTCCATGACCTGTTTCTAAACTCAGAAAGCAAACCAACCATACAAAACCTCCCAATTGTTAAGCCAAATTTTCTTGACAACAAACCCTTGGGCAGTAAAAAATAAGTTCTAGAAGAGGGCTTCTGGGAGGCTGATGGGCTCTTGCCCAGTGTCAGTGAGGACAGGTGCTGGGGAAAACATATGATGTGGAATGATGGGAGCTTCAGCAGAACGACACTCTTGGCCTCTCCCCACCTCTTGGGTGGACTTATAAAGACAACCTGGACCTGCAAAGCCCACCCTTTCTTCTTTCTTTCTCATGGGAGCAAGCTGCCTGCAAGAAGCACACTTCTGCTCTGCTCCTCCTTGTAGCACGCTTTACAGAGGCAGGTCCCCATGAGAAATCAAGGAGAGGTTTCTGTGCCACCTATGTCTAAGTAGTTAATAATATGATAAATAGCCAATCACCATGTGCCAATGGCTATTCTAAGTGCTTCCAGCATATCAGTGCATTCAATCTTCACAACAACCCTGTGAGGTGAGTACCGTTATTGCCCCACTTTACAAACGAGGAAACTGAGACTCAAAGGGATAAATGCCATATTTCAGATCACCCAGCTAATGAAGGGTGGGGCTGGGATTCGAACTCAGGTAATCTGGCTCTAGAGCCCTAGCTTTTAGTGATAAAATCTACCTAATTCTGAGATTTAGCTTTGTCTCATGATAAACAGAGAAAAGATGGAAGTCGTGAAGGATTTCATTTTACTTGGATCCACAATCAATGCCCATGGAAGCAGCAGTCAAGAAATCATATTGCATTGGGCAAATCTGCTGTGAAAGACCTCTTTAAAATGTTAAAAAGCAAAGATGTCACCTTGAGGACTAGGGTGTGCCTGACCCAAGCCATGGTATTTTCAATCGCCTCATATGCATGTGAAAGCTGGACAATGAATAAGGAAGATCGAAGAAGAACTGATGCCTTTGAATTATTGTGTTGGCAAAGAATGCTGAATATACCATGGACGGCCAGAAGAAGAAACAAATCTGTCTTGGAAGAAGTACAGCCAGAATGCTCCTTAGAATCGAGGATGGGCGAGACTTCATCTGACATACTTTGGACATGGTATCCGGAGGGACCAGTTCCTGGAGAAGGACATCATGCTCGGTAAAGTAGAGGGTTAGGGAAAAAGAGGAAGACATTCAATGAGATGGTTTGACACAGTGGCTGCAACAATGGCTCCAGCATAACATGAGGACGGCACAGGACCGGGCAGTGTTTTGTTCTGTTGTATATATGGTGGCTATGAGTCGGAACCAACTCGACGGCATCTAACAACAACAACAAATCAGCTTGTCAATAATAAATGTGATATTTTGAACTCCCACCTGCCCTACACTTTTTTTGTATTTCTCCATTGGTTCAAAAATCAGAAAGGGAAATGAGTGTCATTTGCTGGGTCTCCTCCAGCCACAACAGGGATCAAGTGACTTCTCAGGGTTTGGCCCCTGGGAGTTGGAGATGGAATGGCACAGTGGCTAAGAGCCCAGGCTTTCAGGTCAGACGTCGCACGTTCAAATCCTGTCCCGCCACAAACACATGGGAATCCTGGTCATGTACTTACTCTCTTTGCCACAAGTTTCCCACCTGACAAGTAGGAAATAATCATAATAAAAGACTCAACTTCATAAGGTTATTGTGAGGATTAATAAGTTAATGTACCTTAAAGGCTTTTAAAGGGTACCTGGCCCATGGATGAGTACTCAGTAAATATGGACTACTCTTATTACATACAGCTGTGCAGCCTCTTAAGCAAGGCAACATCCTAAACATTTTTCCAGCTTAATTTGTGTCTATGACCAGGTGTTAACCACAGCGATGTATTGGAGTATTCCATGCCTGGTCTAAATAAATTGATGTCCAATTGAACATGAGGATATGTGTGTAGACGATCACCCATTCCCCTCATGGGCAAGTGATTGCTTGTCCTTTAGTGCAATTGCAGTCATCTACATCAAATAGAAAAAGGAAGACAGAAGAAGAATTGATGTGTTCGAACTGCGGTATTAGTGAAGAATATTGAGTATAC